GCTCTCTCTTCTAAAGACTTCTTACAAACAAGCCGGTGGTGGTGCTGGCGAAACCTAGCCCTCAAGTTATAGCATGAAAGCAGCGTTTAGCAACCATTTAAGAGAAAACAGAGCTATACTAAGAAGTAATGAAGTCAAATGAAGGTCTCACATAAGATTCTTGGTAAGATGGGATGTTGAAGCGACGATTTCGGTGGCAGAAAGTGTCGCTGTTCCAATGACAGTCACTTCATCCTCGTTGTAATCGCAACTAAAACTGGATAATTATTTATGACTAACAAGTTAGTTTTACTTGAAAATTCAGGAAGCTAACAGAAGTATGCACCCGTCATTCTAAAAAATTTATGGCATTTGAGGGAAAATACATTTTCATAAAAACTGTCTAAGACAAGAACGAATTTTGACATTTTATCTAATTAGCAAAAAAGAAAATTTTGGAATTTATATCCAGGCCAACAATTCTGGAGGAATATAAAATGTAATAACATTTCAAGTCGCAGCTGACGATCTCGTTCGAATATGAACTCGAATGTAAAAGCGCCCGGAATGGAGATCTCACTGGCTTTTGGAATTACTTCCGTTGTTGTAACCTGAATATATCAACATTTCGTGCTTTATCATGCTTATACTATATTTCCTCTAACGAGAAGGAATATTTGCATTTCATATCTAATGTTACTGTCATAGGCAGTTCAAGTGTCTCTCTTCTTAGGATCTCGATGGCTCTTGCAGAAATGCTGAAATTTTTTTGAATAACGCACGTTAGTTTTGCCAGAAGGCTTGCCTGCGGGAAAAGGTTGGAATATGTACATCTCTTATAAAAGCGACATTAGCGAGTTGTCGAAATAAAGGGATCTTTACCCACCTTTTCAATAACTGTGCTAAAGGCAATAGTGGCAGATGCGAAAGTTACTGATTAAAGTTTGAGAGGTTGTTTGTGGTGCGTCTTTTCCTGACCGTATAAGGAAATCAGACTTTCAATCAGATGAGCAGCACGCAAGATATCATTATGGTCACACGAAGAAATGAAATCCGGTGGGACAAGGTGTGTTGCTTGCTCTGCCGACAACTGGTGGCGCTTCGTATTAATAATCGGTACTCATGACCTCCAAAAACGTGACGCGCATCCATCGATCATGCGATGGATACAACTTAAGTTATGTACCATACTTTAAAAAAGGCCTGGTATCTGAAGGTATTCCGGTAACAGCACTAATATGAGCGCGTCTGCATCCTGATTGCCAGAGCAACTTATTGCAAAAACGCAGAATCGCGTCTCCGCTCTATTCTACTATAAAAAACGTTAAAGAAAGTAAAATTCGTCCAGTATTTAGTGCCAGTAAATTCTTGCAGATTTCGTCGTGCTAAGGTTTCTTAAGCATGTATTCCTTTTAAACGGTTCAAACGGTGCCTGACAGCGCACGCTTGTTTAACTGCCCTTACCGGCATCATTAAAGCGTTTTGAATGGTAGCTTACAAGTTTCCATGGACCATCGCAGTCGCATTCGTTTTCAGATACGAGGCAGACAATATTATCGAACTTGAAGCAGTCGGTCATAAGCTCCCTGAATAAGCACAGTTGAATGGCCGGAGTTTCACAATTTAAATGAAGTGAAAATCTATGTGTTCGCGGACTGACTTTCTGTAAATAGAAATTCCCCTTTCAACGAATAATTAATTCCCGTGAATATGTCTAACTGGATAGAATTGCTGCCCCGTCAGAAACAATTCTGTGACTGCTTATGGGCCGTATTACCCAAATAATAGTAACAACAGGGATTGTAAAAACCTTAGTTTTCTTAGACTGTCTGTGTAAAATCATCAGTGCAGCTCGGTTTCAGCTGCAGAGCTGCCATAACTATCTGGCAGCTTTTCGTATCGCAGAATTTTTGCTTTTCGTTCAGCAGTTGTAAAAAGATGGACTCTCACAGCACAGAGGAGAGGCGCTAAACATTAACTGGAAAAAATAATTTCTTTTTCACTTTTGTTCATTTCGTCGCTAAAGTATAAACTGATAAAAAAATATTGTTTGTTGCAATTTGCTGCGAAATGAAATAACAATGCTGCCTGTGCCATCCTCATAGGTTACACTTTGCAAATAAGCACTATCATTTCGAAAATTATTTTAGCTGTGCGAGTATCATCCAGTAGCATACTGTATCTACTGCATGTCAAAGTGGCCAGTAATACATATCTGTTTTGTTGTCCCGGGCACTATTCATTTTAAAGTAAGCAAACCTGATTTGTAAATCCACCTCGATGATATCTTTTGGTGCCATTTTCCTGTCATATGCATCAGTGAAACTTCTTTCACGGCTTAAATAAACTTTGTGATAATTTAGAATAATTCTAAGATAAAAACTGTTTAACTGATATGTCGCTTTTGTTGCCGAGAGTCTCTAAGTATGTAAGAGCGCCACATAAAGCCGAGTGTTCGTACTCTGATATTTTATTCAGCTGTTGTTTCATCATGGTGATCCTTTTCGTAACTGATTCAGTTGATTCTTTGTTCTTCTGCATTTTAAGTTTGCTTTGTCCGCAGTAGTTGTGGTGAAAAGATTTATTTAAATGCATAGTGCGTCCAAATAAACCCTTTTATCACAGTGACTGCACCACATGCTTTCGTTTAACACTGTGTTTTGTACCATTTCTTATCTTCAAAAGTTTCCGTCCGTTTGCTTTCCACATTTCTAAATGTGAGTGGTCTAAAAAGATAGTTCTGCGCACCTGCGCTGAAACTTTATCACGATAATGCGCCATTTGTACTTACTGAAGAAAATTATAACAATTTACTGGTCTTCTGGACTGGCGATTAAAGGCAGCTTGTCCTGCCAAAAACAATGATCTCTTTCTTTACTTGACGCTGGGAAAATTTAACCATTTTGATAAACAGTTGTTCAATGCTTACTTTTTGGATATGGGCGGCAATAACGGATCGGCCTTTAGTGCTTTTCGCATTTCAATTATATGGCGTATTCTAACCATATTCATTGCTCACACACTTCCAGTATAGAATATAGATTTGCTCAGGCTGTAATATAAGCAAGAGTTTCCCGAAAGATCTCGCTGGTGAGGGTATGCATTAGCACAGCTTTTTGCTCAGATTCCTCTATGAATTGAGAATTATCTCCATTAAAAAAATAATAAACATTCAGAGTGAAGTACTGCTATGACCTACACTGAATTCGTATATTTTAGTGCGGTTGTGATGAAGTGCAAAAGTTTTGGATGTATAAAATGAAACGGAGAAGTGCGACTATTCCGAACTTTTACCGGATTAAAAATTTCGATTTTCAAGGCACTAAAGCTCCAAAATAATTACATCAGAGAAGACGAGATAAAGCAAAGATGGTACACAAGGTCAGCCGTATATATGCCCTGCAACATGCAAATAACATACTTGAATGGCGTCTATACCCAAACCGTTTCACAACCCAGGCTGAAACGCACCAGGCGAGCCGGTGCGATCATGCGTTTTTGCACAATACTTGAATT